GAAAGAAACCTTCCAAAGAAAGGCTGAAAGTAGGGATAACAAAACTGCGGGGGCGGGGGATGCTACAACCCTATCATGCAGTAAATGTTATGAAATAAGAGTCAAACGTTCACATTTAAACACTTATTGGGGCTTTGTTTATACAAGTACTGGTCTTTTATAGACTTTATAAAGCAATATTTTTGCAACTTTATTAGTTATAGAGAAGATTAACCGTTATTTTTCAAAAGTCTTTGTTATGGTGGTCACTAAATATTTATTTATAACCACTTAATTGGGTAAACACCTCGTCAGGAACATCTGCTTGAAGGGAAAAGATTCTCAACACTTTCTACATTTGCAAGGACTTCTGAAATGTTCACTGTTGGCTGTGCCAGCACTTGTTCCCCTTGGGTGTTATGGTTATCATTGTCGTCATTGTCATCATCATCACTTTCTGGTTCCATTTTGACATAAGTTAGCACTCTGGTGGCAATTTTAGGATTTCCGAACACTAGAAAATAGTTAAATTGCTCTCTCTAACCACGAAGACCTCAAAATCAAACTGGTTTGGGAGATGAGTGACAACAGTAGCAACTGAGTATCAGACTAGTTCAAATACGACGTTTGGTTTGCAGTCTTCTAGGTAGATCTCAAGGTATTCCACAGGAATCATGCCTGTTTTCTGTCAACATTTTTACTACTGTGGATGGCTCTACAGACCACCAGTTCTCAGCAACCATGCCAATGGCTTGCTTAGCTTTATTTCTCAGTTTTCCTTTTATCAGCTAAATCTAGAAAGATCTATTTTGGCAGTGCACTTTACTGCACAAATTATACCCTAATAGGATGGCTACAGAATGGTTGTGCAGTTTAATGGGAAAAACTCAACACATGCATAGGAGAGTGCTGTGGGCAGAGCAACTATCAGCAAGAGGATATGGTTTTGCTCCTTTCATTCTGTTGCCAACCTTTCTCAGCCTTCATTAAACAAATCTCTCATCCTTTGGGCATGTGTATGGGCTTAATAATCACAGGGGAGTAAAGGAACATTTATGAAGCCCTGAGAATTAACTGACTTGCCAATGAGAAGTGGTATCATATTTTCCATCCAGGATGCATTACATCAGAATAGAGCAATCATCAGCCTCTGTTTACCTCCTTTGTGAAATCCTCCCAGGGCACGAAGTGTATGAAGCAACTTGTAAAATGCTGTTTTTATCAGCATTTAAAACATCATTTAAGCTGCAACTAGTAATTTTTTTTTTTAATTTCTTCTGCATGCAAGTTATTAATTTTCTATACTGGAACAGTGCTTTTTCACTATAGACAATGTCTGAAAAACATCTTAACATGCCAGAAATGTGATCAGCCAGTACATTTGCTTTAAACTCATCAGGCCCAAGGTTGGCAAAAAATCCAGTGCTTTTTGTGGAACAAGTGGTCCACTTACATGCTCATTTCTAGCACAAACTTCTTGATACCAGACAAAAATAGCTTTAAAACATACTTTACATTCACTTCTGTTTTAAGTCCCAGAGTCCCTTTAACTTGCACTTCAATTTTGGCTCTATCTTTTCAAAAACATCAACAGTGTAGACTGTAACTAGTCTCTCTCTCAACAGTGATGCTCAATTCCTGTTATTTCTTCTTTCTTGTGGCTACAATCTATTGCTTCTAATGCCTTCATTTTCTTCTATGAAAACTGCTGGCATGTCATCTTTCCCCCACTTAGCCATGAGAGTAGGATAAATTGTATGTACGAATGTATGCAGAATTTAGGTAACAAATGTTAGTCACCAGATGGCTTAGGCTAGGTGCCAATGATTTTTCTCCTTATACACAAACGTATTTGACTGTAATGTGGGGAAAAAGAAAAGTCAAAAAGATGTAATCATTAAAGTGAAGGAAGTATTACAGTCTGTAAATAGGCCATGCCTATAAAAAAAATGTGAAGCAGGAAATAGTTAACACAATAGCCACATTGTTACGACTGAATCATAGCCTCAGAGTATTCCACTAATTGAAACTGGAGCATTAGATAAAAATACTAGGAAGGCCTGAAGAAGCACATATACAAAGATAAAATTCATGCTCATCAGAAACTGACAAAAACAGCATTTTCCTTTAATTATTGAGAAACAGCTGCACATAATTAAAACAAAGCTATCTAGTCGAATATGGTTTAAAATTGTTTACTGGGAGGAAAAACAAAGTAATGAGGGAGGGACGTATAGCCAGCATATATCGTAGAGCACAGAAGGGTCCTCCAACCACAGTTACCACATCCACTTTGTGTCAATAATGTGTCAAGAACTGAGATTAACTCAAGCCTCATCTGAAGTCCAAAATTATATATATGTATACATAATTATGTTTATAAACAATACATGTACATATACATGTGTCTGTATATATAGAGACTAGTTACAGCCAACAGAAATTTCACTATTTTAAAATTAAAGGGATGCAGTCATGCTGAATGTCATGAAATTCCACTTACATCTATAAAAACTATGTATGAAGAGTGTTCTAATGAATTGTAATGACTTGATTTTAATTGTAAAACTCTTTGGTCTCCTCTTTTCCTTAGTAAAACCTACATATCTGGTATAATAAATCAAGGAAATAATCAAGGAAGTAGTTATTATACTACCTCCAGATATCCACATCCACCTTAATAATGCATTGTACATGTTAAACTTTACCAGCAATGACAATTAGAGTACCTAGGCTGAAACCACTGCAAATGTTCATTGAAAGGACATTTACAAATTAAGGAATTACCTACAACACTGTGTTTTTAAAAGATTTAATATATCACAATTTTCCTTGTTTATGACTTTCATTCTTTTATAAGACAGCTCAATTTTATTGTTGCTTCTCTTTTTATGAGCCAGTCACTGAAGATGTTACAATAGTAGTCCCAAAATTGCATGAATTTGTATGTACCATCTACTGAATAAAGAAATTTTAACAAACTTCTATTCTTTAATAATAAATATTGATTACTGAGGCCAAGTAATATTTCTTTATTTTTCCATCACCCATTTCTTTTTCCCTTAACAACTTATGAAAATAAACTCTTGTTTATAACTTTTTTTTAAATAGAGAGAATTTTGTCTAAGGCCATGCTACCCTGAACAAGCCCAATCCTGTCTGATCTTGGAAGCTAAGCAGGGTCAGGCCTGGTTAGTACTTGGATGAGACACCACCTAGGAAGACCAGGTGCTATAGGTGAAAAAAATAAAATAAAAAAATAAGGGATTGTAAGCTGACAAGGTCCTTGCAATCTGTGAGGTCAACCAAGGGTTGCCGTGCCTAAAAAATAATAAAATAAAATAAAATAAAATAAATAAAATAATAAAATAAAATAAAATAAATAGAATTTTTCATATCTGCCTATAAAAAAGATCTAAACTAAGCTGCATTTAATTCATATGTCCCTTGCTGGTAGAAAAGTTCTTTACCTTTTTCTTCAGCCCATCCTTTTGCGAAGGAAATATGTAATGGGAAAAGGAGCAGAGATAAATTGTGCCTCTGCACAATTCCCTGAGAATCATACACCTCAAAGTGTAATGGTGCCCCCTTGGAATTAATAACGCACAAGGTGCGAGGCTGTATTAAGATGGTCAAAGATAAAATCAGGACTGGTCATCTTTGAATGATTTTCCCTCCTTTAGTAAATTCTTGCTTAAAGGAATGAATCAAATATATTTGGCAACTGACAATAAACAATTCACTGGCATAAAATTGGCATGACTATCTATATTAATTACACTGTATGTGAAAATTAGACCAAGAAATAAAGAATATTAGGTGCTTTGGGGAAAATTTAATCTTGATATCCATTTTTTGAAATGAGCATCTCAACAGAAGATAAATCAAAATTATCAGAATCATAAAATGTTAGTGAGAAGGAATCTTAGCCATAAGCAAAATCTTTCTTTTAAAACAGGGAATTATAAGACGGACAAAATATTTTAATCAGATATAAATTATTTTAATTTCACATACCATACTATCTTAATATTTAAGAAAATAACTTGAAGTCTGGAGCAGAACACAAAGTTAATATGGGAAAGAATAGAAGAACGTTGTCCTGTGGGTATCTAGCTTATCCTCAAATTCCAACTGTGCTAATTATAAGCTGTATGTCTTTAGTAAGTGGCAACCTCTCTGGGCCTCAGTTTCCACCTTTATAAAACGGGTAATATTTTTTGCATAGAATTATCGTGCGGATTAAATAACATTTTTTATAGGATACAACAAATATTCAATAAATGGTAACTATTGTCATCCTCATCATCTACTCTAATCCCCTTTTCTAGACAAATAGAAACAGACCCAAAGAGGCTGTGTCTTTGCCAATGGAAGAATGAGATAATCCAGGTCTCTCAATTTCCAGTCCATTCTTATTCCACCACTTCACTCTGCCTTACTCTTGAATTGATGACTCTGCATTTATAAGTTATTAAAAGATTTGGAAACAAAGTTGTAATCACCTAAACGTTTTTTAAAAAATGTTATGTGTATTGGTTTTAATGTAAAAAACAGTATTTGAAAAGTATCTTTCCGTCTATTTAATTTACTATACCTGAAGAAAGGAGAAAGGTCTTGACAACGGCTCTTGCATACAATCTGAGAACTGTAAGGAATTATTTGGGGCCACGCCCCTGCCCATACTATGGTACCAACACTACCGCTGACTAGTACTCAAAGAAAAATGCATTCTAAGCCTCCAGAAAAAGAAGCTGCATTCAAATGAGTTCCTGACCTTGTGGTGCAGGGGGGAACGCATGGCTGTTAATAGCTACAAAAAGAGGCATGGCAGTTGAAAATTACAAACCCATTTTCCCTAACTAGGAGAGTTTGGCGACCTTCTAAACCCACCAGAGTGCGGGACTCCTGGAACAAGAGGTCCGGCAGTGGGCCCTGTAGGGGCAGAGATCTCCGAGACTTGGCTCAGGGAGCCCTCGGAGTGGCGAGGATTCGGGGTGCTGGACAGAACGCCGTGGAGTCCTACGCACCCGGGAGTGAACCCTCAGGGCAGCTGGGACCGCTAAGGCCTCCGGGACGAGCGCAAGGTGGGTCAACCACCCTGTCCCCGCCACCCACCACCCTGTCCCCGCCACCGGGACCCTCCGCCACTCACCTGCCGTCGGGTCGCCTTGTCCCCTCGCCCCGGACGCTCCGCCTCGTCTCCGACTGCGGGAGAGAGCGGCCCGACTCGCGGGCTACAGCTTTCCGCCGCGGCGACCTCTACAGCCCGGAGGCTGCAACGCAGGAAAGTGGGGCTTCGGAGACGCCCTTCCAGTACCTCTCAGGTTCCTGCGCCCGCCCCGGGGGATTGGCTGGCTGGCGTTTGCAGGGTTTTTGTTTGTTTGTTTTCTTAATTTACCTTTTCAGCTTCTCGGGTTCAATTAACCTTCTATTTTCTTGCGTGTGTGTTTTAGATACATAAAAGGAGATATTACCTAGAAATATATCAATTTGTTTAATGTAAGGGGAAAGATTTCTGATTTGGGAAAGAAGGCTTAAATCTGGTCTCCTATCCCCATTTTAGGGGCACAGGCATTCAAATGTACAGTTAATACTCTGTCATTCTATTAGTGCCTTGAGATGCTAAGACACAAACTATGTGAGTAGCTATGGTTGTGATAAGAATAGGTATGTGAAACTAATGAAAAAAATAAAAATAAAGACGAAAAAAGAATAGATATGTGACACTAATAAATAAATAAAACATAGAAATGAATTTCGGTTTGCACATACTTCCATGATGTTGAAGTTTGTTGGAATAAAAGTTATATTAAAACAAACAGAATAGCAGGTGCCCAGATCTCGGCATGGATTTATGTAGCTTTGGCAAATGGATTTTGAATCTAAAAGCTGTTCTCTCAAGCCAAATTAACTTTATATTTGACTTGAGGTTTAATTTTTTTTAAGTTCGTGGATGGACATCTGGTATTACTAGAGGATCCTCTGACAAAAAAGTTAGACTTTAAAAAGCTGTGAGATGAAAAGGTGTTCAACGTTACTAATCGTCAGGGAAATGTATATCAAAACCTCAATGATACCCACCTCACACCGGGTAGAATGGCTAGAATCAAAAAGACAGTCTTTTGCAAAGTAAAAGTTTTGAATTTTGATGAAGGCCAAATTATCCATTTTTCTTTATTTTTTGGCTTGTGCTTTTGGTATCATTTCTAAGAACTCGTCTGTGCCTAGTTTATGAAGAATTTCTTCTATGTTCTAAAAGCTTTATAGTAACATGTTTTACATTTAATTCCATAATCCATTTAGAGTCAACTTTTGGATAAAAAACAAGGTTTAAGTTGAAAAAAAAATTTCGTTTTGCTGTTCATTCATATGCTTGTTTTTCATTTGGGCATCCTCTTTTGCAAAAATATCTGTTCTTTTGCTTGTTTTTATTTTGGGTTTTCTAACTTGTTCTTACTGATTTGCATGAGCCCTGTAAAGATACTGGATATGAGTCTCTTTCCAAATGTATTGCAAATATCTTCCGCCAAACTTTGATAGTCTTTTCACTCTCTGAACAGTATCTTAAGGAATAGTTCTTAATTTTAATGAAATTTAATTATCAATTCCTTGAAAATTGAAATTCACTTTACTAACCCTTATGATTAGTATCTTTTGTATCATGTTTAAGAAATCTTTTTCTACTTCAAGGTCGTAAAAATATTCTCCTTTGCTATCTTCTAGAATCCAAGAATCTTTATTGTTTGCTCTTTCTTTTTTAGATCTATAATCTTTCAGAGCTATATTTTATGTACTGTGTGAAGAAGGAATTAAAAATCATTTTTTTCCATATGGATTTCCAATTGACCAGTTCTGTTTATTGAAAAAAAACTATCTTTTCCCCCATTGCACTGCAGTTATCACCACTGTAAAAAATTAAGGACTGTGGGTCTGTCTGGACTTTCGGGAATTGGCTTATCTAACTGTGGGAGTTGGTAAAGCAGGCTCTGTAAGGCTGTCATCTCCTTGTCTGATGTCAGAGCTTGAAGTCCAGGGCAGGCAATCAGGAAGGGAATCATGAAGCAGGCTGCAACTCACAATCCCAAGTTGGAAATCTACAAGGAGGGACTGAAACTTTTGCTCTTGTTACCTCTGACCTTGGTAACGGGTATCCTGCAGAAGCCCTCAGTTGTAAGAGCTAAACACACACCTAGGAGTCAAAGAAGTTGAAGGAGGATCCTAGAGAACGTAGAGTGCAGATCCAGCGGCTGCTTCACAGCAACAACGTGCATCTGCTACAGTAGCTCTTGCTTCCCTTTTACCTTCCCAATCTCCCAATTACCTCCCTTGTTGCCCACCCTAACCAAGAACATACAAGAAAGGGAATTCTAGGAAATGTAGTTCAACCTAAACAAATGGATACCTTACAAAGCCAACACAAAGTTATTTATAATGTCTTTGTCTTTCCTTTGAGGAGAGGGAAATGTGTTTTTTATAAGATTGTTTTCACTGGGTATAGAATTTTGTTTTCACTTCTTTCAGCGCTTTCGTAAGTCATTGGATTATTTTCTAGAGTCGGTTGTTAGTGTTAATTGATCGCAATCAATCTCATTTTGTTCTTTGAAAGTAATGCATCTTTTTTTCTGTTTGCTCTTATAGTCTTTGTCTTTGAGTTTCAGTAGTCTTACTATGATCTAAATATGTTTTTCCTTGTATTTAATCCTCCTTGAGATTCATAAAGCTTCTCAATTTGTCTTGATAACTTTCATATGATATAGGAGATTCTCGGCTAATATTAAATATTATTTCTCATATTTTCTCACCTCTCCTTCTTAGGATATTCATATGTTAAAACTTTTCTCTGTATTCCAAATGTCTTTTTTTAAAAAATTTTTTTGTATTTTTCATCCCGTTTCTGTGTTTCAATCTAAGTATTTTCTACTGACTTGTTTTCCAGATTGCTAAATGGCTTTTTGGCTAATGTAAGATAAAAAAGACAGAAAACTTAATTGTCTGCATATTATTCTGTTGCCTCTTCATATGACAATAACTTTGTTAAATTTTCTCTGGAGAATGAATAAAATAATCCAATCACTTCTCTCGCGTAGTTGTTCAATTTTTTTTATTATTAATAACTTAGAATACTTTTCTGATTATTTCCTGGTAATAGCATATAAATCAGAGATTATTGTCAATTTGGAGAAAGCCTCCATTAAGTTTCTTTTTATTTAGAGGAATTTTTCAAACTAAAATCTGCCTTGATATATTTCAAATCTCATTTCTCCTCCATAACTCATATCCTTTCTATGCTGGGTTTCTTTGGACACATTAAAATTGCAATGAGACCTCAAACTCCGCACTTTTTGTTATGGCAATAGGTGAGTGAGTCTTTATGTTTCATATTATTAATCTCCAGGTTACATTGACAAATTTACAGAGGTTATATACAAAACTGGATTTTGTTGTCAGTAATTACATTTCCACCTAAAATTGGACTATTAAAGCAATATTCCTTTGGGGGTGGGCATGCACATAATTAAGAACTTTATTTGGCAAAAGTTAGTGGAGAATAAATTTGTTGCTTTTTCTTCAATTTCTGCATTAATATCTACACACACACACACACACGCACAAAGTCATTCATGTTATTATTTTTAAAGCAAGGCAAATTCAAAGAAGAAGGGGAGAAAGATAAAAAGCTAGGCTTATCTGTTACACAAGTGTAATGACTGTTATATTGTATATCCTGTGAAAATATCAGTTGGATCTAAATGTTTTCCGATACTGTGTACTTGTTTTTGAGTAAAGAAGATGCGCAAAATGTTAATGAGTCAAATATAGTCTTTTATTTGTTGAGTTGACAACAAAAATTAACTAGAGCTAGAGGCACATGCATCTATCAGCTTTGAGCCTTGTCAAACCCTGAAAGGTTTGAGAAAGTGGAGGCTAACCTGAAATAGATAATGTTTCTTTTTCTTAGGAAAACAATATCTCAAACATTTCTTAGATATGGAAAATCCTTAGAAAATATTTGAAGCTTTAAGCGCAAATATTGAAAATACAAGCCTTTTCAATGACCTGGGAGGAGACGTGGTATGTGGATGGGGCCCAGAGCTATGGCTCTGCTGACAGCCAGCTGTGGTGTAGGGCTCTGTCACAACACCGGGTCCTGTAAGGGCTGATTCAAACAGGGGTTAAGGGTAAATGGGGTAAAGAGGGTCATATATACAGTAACAGAAGGAAAATAGACTTTGGGTGGTGAGTACACAATGGTATACAATTATAAAGTTATAATGTTGTACATATGAAATTTATATGATATCATTAACAATGTTACCTCAATTTAATTTTTAAAAGAGTGGTCAAAATCAAAGGACAATGCTTACATTTTCATTTGAAAAATGTGGAAAACTCATTTTTAGATGTAGAAATGGTGCTACAATATGAACTTTCATACACTCCTCTGATATTCTGTACCCAGGAAGCCTTTTTCCTCAGTCCTTTTCTGCATCAGAAGATGGATGAATCACCTGTGGCACCAGAATAAGCAGCAGCACTTCAAGGCACAGAGCCTTTCAATTCATTCTTACCAAAACATGAAACCTCAGAAGCACTCGATATTACAAACATAAGTCATTATTAAGTAATATGTATTGTATTTCTGGAGTTGTTTTAGATGCTACAAATCTCCTACCAGCTCCTGGTATAATTGAGAATTACTGTTAGAAGGAGACAGGGACTTCTTTTTTCATGTAAGTATCTTGTGTTCACAAATTGTACTGAAAAGCAATTGTTCTGAGATGTGGAAGCAAGTTGTTCCCATATGTGCTTTCCTGCCCAGCACAAAAGGTAATTCTTTGTTTCTTTGTTTTTCAAGTTGGTGCATATTACTCTCATTTCTGGTGCCATTTCTTTTCTTTTCTTTTCTTTTTTTTTTTTGACAGGAAATCTCACAAGTCATGGTCTGTGTTGCTTTCAGTAAACAAAGATAATGACAGATACCCTTGATTGACCAGTTATCATTTCAGTTAAGAACATTATAAGAACACTAAAGTAACGAATGCCTTTCCCATTTCACAGACAAGGAAATGGAGGCTAGAGGGCTTAAGCATCTTGAGCAAGCCCAAAAGTTAAGAAATAGGTCCAGGATTTCAACTCTGGTTTCTCTGAACTCAAAGTCTATGGGATCTATACTGTTGAAAAAAAAATCTTGAAATAGAATTAACGTTAAATTCTGATAACTCTTTTGGACCTT